GTGGGGGTGTGGGGGTGGTGGAGAGCACTGAGTCATCGTGCAAACAATGCTTCCAGCGCATTGCATCTTTCCACAATATCAGGTTTATTAGAGGGATTCACCCACTAAACCAATTCTAGTTTGCAATTGTCTCAACAAACCAAGGGGTTTGTGAGAAACATTGAAAAGAAGGCACAAACACTGTTGCAGAAGTAAGTACAAGACTCACTCGATGGGTGAACACCAGCCAAGAGGAGACCACACACCACTGTCCGATGGAAGGATGGAAGGCAGCCTCGGGACAGTGTGTGATGGCAGGTCTTGGGCCGGAGGGAGGACAGGGGAAGAGAGGAAGGCAAGGTGAGCAAGACAGCTGCCGCCGACAGACAGTTCTTGTCTTCCCAGTGCCCAGCCCCTCCGATGCCATGAGTGGTCAGCCCTCCAAAGGCTCACCAAGGCCTGGTTCTGACCCGAATGTGTTCAGGTGAGTCTCATGTGTATCCGTTCAACTAGACACTTCTTGTCAGTAGTCTGCAAGGTTCTGTGTCCATCTGGAGGTACCAGTAACCGGTGTACCTATCCCTCCTTAGGGTGCGGACTTCGAGGCTTTCTTTCTAAACAATCTTGCCTTAGGACCACAGTCTTTCTCTGTACATCAGGGCACCTCTGCGTCCTCCTGCCTCTTCTTGCCCTGGACTCCACTCCCACTGGATGCCAGGCCCCAGGGCTTTTCCCAGTCTCTGGATAATGCCCAGACCCATGGCCATGACTCTTCAAATCCTTCCCCTCCATCCTTCATGCCTCATCCCTCTCAAAAGTGGAGGCGCAGCCACCTGGCCCCTCCCAGTGCCCTAAATTTACCCAGGGCTTTACTTCGAGCACCCAGCAGGTGGCGCCTGGCACCCCCCCCCCTTTCCCCAGCGCTGTACTTAACTGGACTGCAGCTCCCACCAAGGACCCTTTACCTCCCTTTTGCTCTCCAGGAAGGACGTGGTGAACTCTGTGACCTCTAACTGACCCCTCTCGTGCCCAGGGTGCCTGCGATGATGGGGGCATGAAAAGGCTCCAGTTGTTCCTGCCAGCCTCCCCCATCCCTACCCAAACTCCCCGCACCATTGTCTTTTCCTGCCTAGTGGGGGGGGTTTTGTGGGGGGGGGGGTCCCTAGGGGACAAGCTGCAGCTGGTGGGGCGGAGCTGGTGGGGTGGGGCAGACAGCAGCTGTAGGGAGAGGAAGCAGAGAGAGAAGAAAGCAGGGAAAGGTGCCCTGGAGTTCCCGGCTCCTACCCCAAATAAGTGGGGGGCCCTGCTGAGGCTCACCCCGGACAAGGTATGTGGCTGAGGAAACAGATGGGGTGTGGGTGTCTGTCTGCAGAGGCAGGACAAACTCGGGGTACTGAGGGGTCGGCAGATAGAGTCCACTGCTCAAGGAGAACCCTTGAATGCCCTTCCAGGCCTGCCCCTCCCAAAGTGGCCCCGTAGGCCCTCGGGTGGGCGATGGCCATGGAAGGACCCTGGGCCGATACCAGGAGATGAGACAAAGGCTCCCGGAGGCTCTTGACTCACTGGGGGCATTTGCACCAGGCGCTCCCTCCCATCTCTGCACTCAGCTTTTTACTCTGGGGGGAGGACGGATCAGCTCTTCCAGGAGCTTCTGGAAGACCAGGAGCAAGGCCTTAACCCCAAGGGAAGGTCCTGTGGGCAGTGATATTGTCAGACCATGGGTGTGCGGTGGGGACTCATCTGGAAAGATGGGCGCTCTCAACATCAGGACAGCCCTGGCTCAGGCTTTTCTCCACAGACTTGCTCCTCGGACAGAGACCTGAGGTCCTCTCACCAGGAAAGGGTGGTGGGTGAGGGCCCAGATCAGAGAACCAGAAAAGGTCTGATCCGGCAGCAAGGTGTATGGGGACAGAGGCTGCCCTAGTGGCCAGCATGCAGGTGTTCCCAGAGCCTTGAGGGGTGATGTCAGCACCCTATTACCTGGGATTGCCCCCCAGGTCTGCAGAACCTCTTGCTCACAGCACTGGCCCTGGCTGGAATGAGGTGTGGAC